ATCAAATTTTGGGGTAAAAAAGTGTGTCTTATACACCGAAAAATACGGCACTTCTCTCGTTTCGCGCATCTTCTCATTCTTGCATCACTCTCTCTCTCTCTCAAACATTATGCACTTGTGTGTTGGGGGCAAACATACAACTGCTGTATTTTCAGTAGTTTTAATGTTATCGCTTAAACTGGATAGTTCGTAATACTAGTGTACTTATGTTTGGCTTAACACGAAAATTTAACAAAGATATCCTAGTGTAATGTGATAACAATGCAAACCTTTATATCAGCATAAAGAAAAACCGGTAGATTGAATTTTTTTATAGCAATCAGTAAATCCATAAAAAAAAGTAAAAAGCTTAGTGGAAATCCTAATAGTTGTATAGCCCGTTAAAAATAGTCACTGCTATAAAACATATTTTTCCTATGTCATAGTCAATATTTAACTGGAATAATCAGCGCCCTCTATTGCACTACGATCGATTTGCTAGGTTAATGTAGTGATCGGGAATAGGTGGAATATAACAATCAGGTTAATATGCTCACTTAATTTCTGCCTTCCTCTTATTATTACAAATTGCCACTACGTGTTAGTTTTAACATTACTATACAGTTTCAATAATTAGAAAATATCGTCTGACAAATAAAGACGTCGGATGTTATGAAACAAGTATTTTGATATATAGATAATCCTTTCTCCCCCTCCCATAAGGGATATTAAATAGGGCTGCGGTGATTACTCGGATAATCAAGTTTGATTCGATTTCCCATGAAAATTGATTTCAAAATAATAAAATAGGTTATTATTTCCATTCAGAAATGTAAAAAAATATATATTTTTAAAAACACACAAATAAACCTTTAAGTGATTAAATGTTCAATTATATTGAGCAAGTACAGTAATACGTGACATGCGACAGGTATAAGTCGTACATGTTGTATTGATTTTTAATAGTCATTCCCATATTGATTCGCTAAATCAAAACAAGTCCATGCAGACACATTTTTTTTTATAAAAATGGGTTCAATATGGTCATGATATTATCACCACTACTTAGTTTTTGACAACTTCTATACCTTCAAAATATTTTCTAACGTTAAATTCAAAATGGCCGACGATTATCCGATTCGATTTTATGACAAACGATTAATCGATTTCAAAATCGTCGCAGTCCTAATATTAAAGTTACAAGAGCTAGATTTCACAAACTATGATTTTTGTTTTACCAGAGGGAGAAACGTCGAGATGTAAGTATTATGAAATCAATATCTGAATGTAATGTCTTGAGCGTTTTACAATCAAAATATTAAGAACATTTGCGATTATTTATATTTATTACCATAAAAGTATACTTTATATTGCCTAGATGACAAATTTTAATTCAATGAGATCAATAATATTAGGCAAACAATATACTATTGAATTAAGTATGTTTATATATTTTGACTATCTCATTTGCAAATTATTATCATAAATATTATTTTGCAATAATGAATATTAATTTCTATTATTCATATATATATATACACACACAAGCAGAATGCCTGTTATATGACAAGAAATAATAATTAATTTTGCTTTATGAACATGTTTCCTTAAAAGTCATTATAATGGAGTAATAATATATGTATGGACAATGACTATCTTATTTCTAGTATTTCACGGAAACAACATTTTTTTGTATATTTGGTCACCTCCTTTAAGTATTGCTTGTTTAGCATTTTGACTTTTGTATATTTTAAAGTTACGTTCAAATGTTGTTCTTGATAAATCCTTATAGAAAAACTGGTTTTTAAGGACATAATCCTACTTGATGAACTGTATGACTCTGTAAGTTATTAACTGTGATGGTAAAGGCAGTGAATTTTATTATTTTCAATTATATTAATTAATAAGCTGTTCATATTTTTCAATATCAGTTAATTAGCTGGTACAAAATTTTCAACGATATTTAGCCAGGACAAACTTTTTCAAATTTTACTCAAGTAATATTAGTATTTTTGGAGAGCTAGTGGACAATTTGAAACAATGCGATGATTTGTCATTTGTGTATCTTTTTTGTTTATTTACTTTTAATTAAAAAAAGAGCCATTTTAGGAACTTCCACACCATTCAATGTTATGCGAACGTATATGTGAAACCAGTGGGAAATATCTACCTGACTCCGACCCATTCTTAGCCATTCTCAAACTTATTGTTGGCAATATGCCAACGAAATGGAGACCCCTGACGTAATTTTTGATCAGCCAACCTATTTGTGCAACGTTTACTTACGTCAACAGTTGGTAGGACTAAACCTTTACTTTTTGTTATCGTTTCTTCCCTTAAATAAATGTAGCGTCATCTGACACCATCACTTAATAGTCGAATCAGTACCCTTACGAAAAATGTAGCAGCTTGCTTTTGACAATGTCTGCCACTGGCCTAGCGGTAAGTCTGGGGCTTATAACGCTAAAAATCGGTTTTCGATACCCGCAGTGTGTAGCTTCGTGTTTAATAACAACCAAGACAATGGAATGTGTCTCATTGAAGTCCAAAATACCAAATAATGAGCGATATAATCCAAGTGAAATACACAAATCATATAGATCCATTTCCCCTTACAATTTAAATCATGAATTACAGCGATAATTTTTGAATAATTATTAGACTATGTAACGTTACCTCATTTCTAAAAATGAAAATCTTGAAAATGCGTATCGAAGAATGTTGAAGGTCGGAATGTGAATACGTTTTGAGTTAAGAACTAATTTTAATTTCTCAAATTGTGTAAAAACCTTTAAGTACTGTTACGTCTCCGTGTTCGTTTGTTAATTTTCCGTAGAAATTATTTCCGAAAAACTTCAGCAATACAAGTCCTTCCTTAAATAAAACTAGTTTATTCTTTCTCAATACAACTTTGCAATACACTTAATACCCACAGTCAGTTAACTTAAACAAACGCTGTAATTCACAACGAACGATTCACGCGCTTGACTCAATTGTCCGTCTCTATCTCTGTCTGCAATTCCAATTGATTTGTCTCACGTTAACCGGCGCACTTATATACAGGAATAGAGGGCGCCTAGCACATAATGGATTATTCGTGATATTCCCCGATCTTTCTAGAACTCATTATGTGTTACCAGCGTCACGTGACTTCCGTTGTCGTAACACTGCCCCTTCCTTAGTATTGTTCGTCCCGAACAATAGCCACTTACATTAAACCAATAGAAAATTAACAATAACTTAATTAAATGTACAGAGTTTACAAACACTACAAACACAAAATTAAAATCCAACAAAGTCTCTTAATTTTACGCGACGTATCTTCTTCCGTAGTGGCTTCTACTTCACGTGAGGTTCATCTGCTCCATCAGGAATTGTCCTATCAGCGGTAATGGTCACACCAGTGGTAGTAACTTCATCAAGGGCTTCACTATTTCCCTTCTCAAAACCGAGTAGAGTTTCTTCTTCTACAGTGGCCTTTCCAGGTGACACGTCTTTAGCGGCGTCTTTTGTTCCACTGTTCACTTCATTCCAACTAAAATGACCTGGACCGTGATAACGCCAAAGCCTGTTGGCATGCACCACTTTTGGCTTACCTCGCCAACCACATTTTATTCGGAAAGTCACGTCTGAGAGACGATGCAGTATGTCATATGGGCTTTCCCATGGAAAACTTAGAAAACTTCCCTTTGGTCTTCCTGGGATTATACAACCACACCTTGTCTCTTGGTACAAAGCTGACTTCAGTAGATCTCTTATCATAACATAACTTCATCGAATCAGCAGACATTTTCAAGTTTGAACGCACTTGATGGTGAATATTATCCATCCTTT